TATTTTTTTGAATGTTGAAAAGTTAATATTCTCCTTTATTACTAATATTAAAGTATCATGTTATATAATAACTTAAAAGATTGAAATAAAATCATCATATCCTATAACTTCACAATGCSGTATTCTACTAAACACTACTACTAAATATAAAAATATTATTAATCAATTGATAAAAAGCGTCCTTAATTTAAGCTACTCTCGTAATGCTTTAATCTACTTACTAATGCCACTGGATACTTTGTCTCTTATGTTTTATGAATATGAAAGAGAAACATGGCTTCTTTCCTCGCTAAATATTTAATTTAGCTACTCTGTAATGTCGTACTTTAGCTACTAATAGCAGTAAAAATGTATGCCCTACATAAATCTATATACCAGAATAGATTTTACAATATTTGTGCTATAGCTTTTATTAAGTTCTATACTTATAAGTGTTGTTAAATATCTTACACCAATCACTCACCTGTATCCTGTATTGATTGAATCTAGAAGTACACCAGAGGTAAGTATTTTATTGTAGACAGATGTTAGCATAATGAGAGTTGAGCATAATATTAGCAATTTTTTACTATGTGCAGTACCAACCATAAATGCGTTGCTAATGTTTGAACAAATGATGCTGCAACATGTATTATGGAACTCTGTGCTAAAAACCCCACTTATTATGAATAAGCCTGCTGCTGTCCCATCAATTATACAGAAATATTCTTCAGTGCCTTTGATACCCTCAGTAGGTTTCAGTCACATCTTGGTACTGGTGGCATTTTTTCTCATATAACTCATTATGTTGCTTTTTATTGTATTAGTCTTGATAAAGTACACTTTTTAGTACTTGAAGCGCGGGTCGTGTAGTAGTGAGGGTCCTCCTTTCTCACCAATTCAACCTCAGTCCAAGTGCTGCCAGGCTTRGTGTCCTATATCAGTAGTTGTTTTTCGTTCTTTCCTGTGTTTTGAGGGCTGTTCTCCAGGTTCCCCAGTTTCCTACCCAAGCTCAAAAATCAGCTTGTAAATTCCAATTTGAATTTCTCTGTAGAAATGCTACTGCTAAATCTCATTTATTTATTAAATTTGCAAGATAAGTTTAAATATAATTTAAATTTCCAGTAATCATTTTCAATCCCTTTTCTTTGATATTTCATTACCAGAATGCATCACAATTACATGGAATTAAGTCCTATATCGATAAGGAACTATTATTACAAGAGTGCATTTACTGTAAAGTCTTACCACATTTGGCATTAACTGCAGGACAAATACTATAAGGAACCTGCTTTTTTTAGGTGCTATTTATTTGTTGTACATTTGATGTTTGTTCTTTATTGCTTGTTGCTTACCTGTAATATTTTGGGTTTTCATCATTGTTGGATAATGTCAAGTCATCCATATATCATACATACATTGGAAATCAGCTTTGAAGGTAACATTGGAAATCAGCTTTGATGGTAAAAGACAGTCTGTCCAACTATGATGTCATCCATAAAACATACATATGCAAGGGCTTTATTGTGCCTCCGGATTGTTGTTTACCGATGTGACCTCAACTAAAGTATAGTGYTAAGTCAGTCAGAAGTATTTCACTTAGTTTAGTTTTTGGCTATTGGCTTTTTGATTTGAWTGAAAACACAATTTATGATTGGTATGTGGCTGGCAAATTTTCTGATTAAGCAGTGAATTAATTTGGTGTAAAAAGAAATTATATATTGGTTGAGTGCCTGTGTGTATTGTTATCCCTACTTTATTGTGATTTCCTTGGCTACGGAACTACACAGTGGGAACGAGCTTTGATGCAGAGGTCTGTAAAACCAAAGGCACAGTTTTTTGTTATCCATACCAACTTTAGGGCAGTAAATCATTTTTTCCCCTGTAAATTTGACTTTTCCACTTGTTTTGCAATTTGTTTTACAATTCGTTTTCCTATTTGTACCTTTAAATTATGTAAGCCTTATGTCAGGATACTGGACCATAAGCAGAGATATCAAATATTATCAGCTCACTGGGCCAATAAGAGAGCACAGGTYTTAGGATACAGGACCAGAAAAAATAAATAGTTTCATCAGATATCTAATTTCATTTAAACAATTTTGCATATCTAATTTTTCAAATTTAGTTTTCTAAGAAGCTGCAAGCACTGTATTATTAAGTGAGAATGAAATGAGCAAGTGCAATTAGAATCAGTATGACAATTTACTGCACTGCCAACTTGTTTGCTCTCACTTGCATTTAGTCTTGATACCTTGCCTCTGATTCATGCATTTGCATATTACAAAGTAATTCATAATTTGTCAACTTTGTTAGTCTATCTTGATATACATACATAAACTATTAACGTGTCAGTCATCTAGTGTATCACAAGTGATACTCTAATTGGGAACACTAAGTTTAAGTTTTCTCTCTTTTTCTTGATGATTTTCCAACAATTATTGTCAATTTCAGTGGTGTTTTTTTTAGTTTGGTTTGCTGTGTTTTACATTTTTGAATATTGAACCTCTGATTTATTTTTATAAGTCGTTTGTGTTACAGAGTGTGGTTTGTGTTACATATATTTGTGTTACTCTATGCAGTCTTTTTATGCTAGAAAATAGGCCTTTTTGAAAATAATAGAATTTTGAGAATTTTCATCGTAGTCCAAAAGTTTACAACAGGTAAGTAAACAAAATTGCTAAAAACAAGATTGTTAAACTATTCACCATGAAATGAAACATTTCAAGGTAAGAATCAAGTACATTAGCATATGCCCATTACCCTAGGTATTAGAGAATTTCTGGTTAAAGTGCATCAGATCAGAAATGAATTCCCATTGAGCAATCAGTGTACAATTGATAGCAACAAAATTGTCTGCCTATTTTTTGGTGTAGACATGTAGTATGTGAGCGTGAGAGACTTGACAGCAGTTTGTTGTAGAGGCTTGACAGCAGTTTGTTGTGATGGGGGTCTATGAAATGGATTCACATTAGGGGGTGTCGACATTGAGTGGCATGTAAAAGATACATTTATCTTCATTGTTTTATTGGTTACTCCAATGATCACTGTCTCTATATCCAATAATTTGTGTTTTGTATTACTTGGCTCTATTTCTCATAAAATCCACCAAAATGTGTAGAGCACCATGAAAAATGGCAGGATAGGTCACAGGCTAAGCCAGTTTACAAACATAGTTTACTTAAGATATATTTGTTTCTGTCATTCACTGAAACTTAACATCTAATCAAAAAGCTCGGGTAGTGACTACAGCAAACTATGAGATTACAAACGCATTTTGTCATGGATCACAGCAATCTTGGAGTGAGTCCAAATAAAAGAGAAACTGATTTAAAATCATGCATTCTGAATTAGTAATGATAAAGAGGTAAATTATACAGCGTGAAAAGATGAAAAAACTGAAGTTTCGGATGCTAGTCCTTCATCGGAGTAAAAGAGGATTAAATTACATAAATTATTGGCGCTGTAATCTTAGGGTTTGTTGCAGCGACTCTTTTAGTTCATCTCCTGTTCAGGTTTTTATTAAGATGTACATGATTTTTGTTAATGGTTGATATCGTTATGATAAATAATAACTACATACCAGCCAGCTATCAAACCCACCCTAACCATACAATATATTCCCTGTGAATATTGAGAAATAAAAATGTTGAAACAAGGGGGGAGGGGTGAACTACACATACCAATCATTACATTCGTTTGAGGCATGCTGCAAATGACTTAAAACTTGGTAGTGTGCAAACAAAAATAAGTACTATAAGTAAAAAAAAAATTTTTTGTAATGAAAAAGTTACCAAAAGTTAAAGTGAATTTGGTGAACAGTGAACAGGGAGGGTATTTTGCTCATTTCAAATCTCAAGTCTGAGAATGTTGCTGTATTTTATACTCATTGGTGCTTTTATTCAATGTTTGCACTCTACACATTTCCAATCACGGTTAATTTTGAACTTGCATTAAGGGGAGAATCATACTGCTTGTATCTCAGGATCACTGTCGTATGCACATAATTCCGGAATAAAAAATATAAACCAATTTAAGAAATTCTATACTTGTATCTATAACAACGACACGATCATTGTTGCTGATGTTAAAACTGCTGCATACTTAACACGCTTTAGTGTGTTGCTCCTAATGGAAAATTTCATTGATTGCAGCTCCTGTTTATTCCAAACTGTAACATATAATTTTTCCTGAGTACAATAAATTGTGCAAGCATATTAAGCATCTTAGCCTATGGCGATAGGACCAGCCAAGGTTTGCTAGCATGCCTCAAACGAATGACCATATAAACACACACACACACACACACACACACACACACACACACACACACTTTTGATTTCTGTTGTCCATGCTTTTCTTGAGGTAAACCCAGTTGTAATCGACCAAGCCCAGAGTGATTTTACTTCAATTGAATTTGTGTGGCATTGTTATAGTCTTTCTGATGCTATCATAGTGGCATAAGAAAAAAAACTTGCTTTTTTTAATTAGGGTAGTACCTAATAGCCAGAGGCTAACAACCCTCTGACTCTGCGTTCCATTTTAAATGGGTTTTAGAACCTGATTTTTGTCATAACAATGTCATAGGGAAGGCTATCTTACTTGCTTTGGTTGTAAAATCACTTCATCTTATAGACTTTACTGAAAAACGTCATTGGAAAAAATTCAAAGTTGTTGCAAATTCACTGGACAAATACTGTAGTACATTTGAGACCGTCTACCATAAAATAAAAACTTGCACAATGTTAGAGAGAAAAAAATTGCTTTTGTTTGCACTTTGAAAATTTGTATTACTTCATGGTCAATTACAACTGGGTTTACCTTGTATTGGGGGGAAGGGATAAGCAAAATGTTGGGGGGAGGGGATAAGCAGTGTATTGGGGGGAGGGGGTGAAGCCTAATACTGGGGGGAGGGAGTACTCGTGTAGGGGGGAGGGAATTATTCTTAGGGTAGGGGAGGGAGAATCTACTTAGTAGGGTGGTAGGGTTTTTATGATTTTTGCTGACCTGAGTACTTTGAAATTTTCTAGAAGTTGGACACAAGTGAGCACTTAGGATATTTTTGGTAAGTTGTCAAAAAAGACTTAGAATTTTTTTCATCTCTTGGTGTTGTGTTGGATACAAACAAGTGGGCACTTGGACTTAGAAATTTTTTATCTTTTAAAGTTGGTTTGATGTAGTGTTGTGTTTTGAATAAAAATGGATTTTGGACTTGGTGGTTTTCCTATGTTTTTTAATGTATTCCATCTTTACCCTCTCCAYGCCYTTTTTGGACTTGTAAAAAGAAATACCTCCCCGAGGTCCCACCAGCACCAAGTCTCACTACCCCGTAGACCAGGACCAGGCAGTACTTACTGTCCCRACAAGAGCCATCTTATGAAACCACAACCAGTTGGCTGCTCTGATGGTGAACACTGTCGATAGGGATATCAGACTTTTGACCCCCTACAGACTCGTAAGAGTACCTTGATGGCAAGCCAGCCATTATACTGTGAAGATTAGTGCAAGTAGGAGACTTATAAAATAACCATACCCCACTACTCATAGGTTTTACTGCACAACAGTGATGTATATATCTTAGAGTGATGTGATCAATAGACTTAAGGCGGTATTCAGACTTCCATGAAGTGTATGTGATTATCAAGACTGATTTGTGAAGACTAAAATAACAAAGTTTCTAGGCTACTAACTTGTGAAAAATGAGCTGGTCTATCCCGAAAAGGACACTACCACCATGTAATTTAATATGAAAAGCTAACTTGGGCTCTTTACTCTTGAATAATAAATTTATTTAAGTTTCCCTAGAGGACTAAGACCTATAATGTTTTCAATTAAATATTAATATCTTCAGAGTCTGCAAAGGGACTGGGTCTATTATTTAATAAATATTAATGTATTCAGAGTCAGCTGAGGGACTGGGCCTATAATTTATTCTAAGTGTTAATGTATACAGAGTCTGCTAAGGGACTGGGCCTATAATTTATGAAATTAAGTTTTAATGTATTCAGAGTCTGCTAAGGGAATGAGTCTAATTTATTCAACCAATCTCTTGGGAACAGTGAATATTATTTTACTGTATCATAATGACATCACATTCAACTTTTTTCAATGGAGTAAAAATAATAATTTAGGATAAGTGGACTGTTTCTTTTTCCACTTTTTATTTTTTCAAATTTGTACAAAATCTCTAGCCAGTGTGGAAAACAACAACAGAGTAGGGTTGGTATGTTGGATGGTGATATCATCATGATATTTCTTAAAAGGTTTTATGTTGTAAAATCATTGCTATGGGAGTTGTTCCTATATCACATTAGTTTAGATTTTAGATGAGTGTCCAATGCATGATTTAGGTAAATTTTTGAGGAAAATTACTGCTAAGGGAGCTGTTCCTAAAAGACCCATTTTAGAAATAACTTTAGAGTAGATTTGGTATATTCAATTGCATGATGCATGATTCAGTTGTCCAATCACTTTTTGTTTTGACCAAGACATATACAGATCAGCAGAATCTACATGTGTGAGTAACTTCGCCGCAGGTTACTCCAGCTGATACCAAATCCATTCTTAAATTTTWTTTAAAAGGGACTGACCTAGAGATGGTTGTGAGAACTTTGAGTTTTTAATTTTGTTTAACAAGTGAGAATAGGTACAAACCTTAGTCTAATTCCTAGTCCTAGTCATGTATTTATAATTATAAGCTTATCTTGTTTCCTAAGATGAGTTTTTTCACCAGCAAAAAACTTCTTGCCAGAATTAAATGAGCCATAAAGAATGGCAAAATAAATTTCAAGTTTTTCATTGCAATTTTGAATTTAATTTTGAGCAACTACATGTATAAAAATTGACTTTGCCAAAGAAATAGTATGTATTATAAATTATATTTTTCCAGTACAGTAAATGTTTGGATCAAATGWATTCAATTCGAGACATTTTGTTTTTGGACAGCTTGTGCATATAATACAAGTGCTTTGCAGACAATAATTCATGGTAAAACAACTCTTGGTTTTACTTGTTATAATAGTTTCATTCAAGTGTAATTGTTTCTTGATTGTGAGGTATGGTGTTTCAATGCCATTCTTTGAGGGCTCACCTTGTTCTCTATTCATTCATTTTCCATTTCACATTTGCCTTGTTTGGCTTAAATTTATTTCTTTGCACTTTTTGTGTATTATTTCATAATTCCTGCACAGCTGAATTTGTTCTAAAATATAATATGTCAATCAATGTTATACTCATGTGTATATAGAAAACATTGTATTATAAATTTGTGAATTACTTTTTTATAATCATAGATTATGAGTCCAAAATTATTGCTGGAACTCCAATTTAAATTCCTGTTAATATTGTATGACAATGTCATATCTTCAAAAATATTAACAAAAAAAACTTTGATTTTATTCAGTGTTGTCAATTTTTTCATATACTGTAGTTGCTTTGAAGTGGAAATTAGAAGTATAAAAATTGCCTTCATAATTTAACTTAAAATCACTGCCTCAGAGGAGCACATTGTTGTAATTTGGATGCAATTTGGGTATTTGACTAAGTTTCATTGTTTCATTGCATAATGAATGAATTTCATAGTTTCAAATCAAGTATTCATATATAATTTTCGATTGCCAATAATAATTTTTTAAATTAATCAAAGATTTTATTAAGACCTCAGTTTCATCTATAGAAATTAGGGAGATTTTGTTTTGCTTTTGTAATATATRATCCTGATTTTCTGGTTCTGCTAATATTTAAAATTTGTCCATTTTATAATTCTGATTTTAGGTCTTGCYACTCTCTTGGTATTTTTTGTTTTTGTTTAGTTTTAATAATAGTTTTTCCATTAATTACAATTAATGACAGAATTTTGTTGTTATTTTTTAAAAGAAACTGAGGTCTTGTTTTTGCTGGTGAAAAAACTTATTAAATTACAATCCTATGATAGAACCTTGTGTATCAGTCTAGCCGAACATCATTAACGCAAGATTAGGTCACCTAGAAATGATTTAACTTCTAGTCTTCCCAGCTTGATAATCTACTTGTATGAAAGTCTGAATGGTGTCTTTTGCAAGTCTATTGAGCACACCACCCTAAAGTTATCACTGCTGTACACACCCATGAATAGTGAGATACAATTATCCCTGCTCCTACTTACACTAACCTTTACAGTGACCGGCAATCAGCCATCAGCGCACTCCCATGAAATCTGCAGAGAGCCATCACCTGGTATCCTTACCGACAACCTTCACCTTCAGAGCAGTCCTCTGATCATGGCCTCAAGGTTAGACTCTGCCGAGAGCAGCAATGTTGTACCACCTTTTTTGGTTTCCTGGCCTGTTGGGGCAGCTTCTGTTAGGTGCTGGTAGGACCTCGTGGGAGGTATCAAGTGTATTTCATTTTTCTGGTGTACAAATAATAAATGATAATAATATTAGATATAGGAGAGTGGTTCTAACTAGTAGATGGTTCTCAGTAGAGTTAAACAAAAATATTAAACTAATAGCCAATAATAATTTGTTTGAATTTACAAATGTAAAAATTGGAAAAAAATTGTGCAAAACAGGAAAATACTTTGATTTGATTTTGGTTTTTACTGAGAATCCTTGACTAGTTGTAAAAATGTGTTTGTTTAAGATAATTTTATGTAATAATTTAGATAATTTTGAGAAAGAATCTTCAAATATTTTAGTGATACACTCTCCTATATCTAATATCTGATGGCTAGAGGACTGGTAAGTTTAAAAATATTTTTTCCAACATATTTTGGTGATCTAAGTTTCACTAAAAGCAGTGATAAGAAATGTTTTGAAGCCTTGATGACTTCATCTTCAGATAACTGAATGATAAACCTTGATCCTATTAAATCATGAAGGAATTTTGGTAATATTAATACTGAAATACATCGTATTTCTTTAGTCTCTAAATATTTTAAAGTTTTCAGAAATCTTACTGTCACGCACTGCTGTGTGCTGAAAAGATTAACATTCCTACAAAAGTACTTGTGAAATAAACTTATCTGCAGGACTCAAAATAGCAGCCAATATAAAAACCATTACTAATTGCAAGCAAGATAAAATGATTTTCAAGTGCACTTTTAAATTAAAATGGTTACAGAAATTTACATTGTGCTTGCTATTTTGAGCCCTGCATTTTACCAGTCCTCTAGTCCAAAAAGGTCATCTTTACTATTGCTAGACTTTTTCCCTTTTTTTGTTCTTGTTGAAATATTGACTAAATTATGCTAGATTTTTAGTCCTAGGCCTAGGTAAAGCACTAAAAACTTTTTTAAATTCTTATTCTTAAATTCTTTTCATTGTAACTGGTGACTTTGACCCCCCTTCATAATCTTAGTTCATGCTAGATGTTGGATCTAGTTTTATCCTAGGCCTAGGTTGTATTAGTTTGTTTTTTTTTTGTTTTGGCTTTATTTTATTTTTTGAAATGCCAGCTTTGAAATTTTTATACTTCTAGAAAATGCTAGATTTTCATTTTTTGGGGGTGAAATTCCTAGATTATGCTAAATTTCTCTCTCTTTTTTTTTTGAAATGTTGAAATTCCTGAATGATTCTAGATTTCATCCTATAAGTTATGCTACTCAATCTGATGGCATGATATTCTTATCCTTTGTGGGTGATTCCTGTCTTCAGTACTGATTGACTGCATCTCTTGATGGTGCTGCATCATCTGACAAGGCTTTGCAGGACAACAGCTTGGTTGATGTGAGTATGACAGATTTGGGATAGCTGGAAGAAATAACAGAATGAGATTGTTAAAGCCATGTCTCTTGTTTGCAACTTTATGTTACACAAGATAGGATCAAACACAAAATGTATATATTGAGGCACAATGCTAGTCACAGTTTGGATAAATCTTAGTTCAAGACTTTGATTGTCTTTTTGATCAAACTTGGATTAACACTTATGAACACATAATTTATGCAGGGGCTATGTGGATTTTGAAGGCACTCTGGGGTTAGCACTTTTTCAGTAAAGAATTGTCAAATAAATGGGTCAATTCATATTTATAGTCATATATATTCTACAACTCATATGAGACACAATATTAGGTTTGTAATGGGGGGGGGGGGGGGGCTACTAAAATGTTGATACTTTAAAACTCAAAATCCACACATATACATTGTCTTTAGAAAATATATTCCATTGTGTGTTGCTAAAATTACCTATTAACATCATTAATAATATGCATGTCTCTGCATAGCCATAGCCAGCCAGAGCTTCACAGCTTCATCTCTATGACAACCAGATACTTGGCTGGAGACTGTGAAATAGCTGTTGAAAAAGTCAAAGGCATTGTTTAGAAACCTAACTCATTCAGATGACTTAAAAAAATATCCAGTAAAACACTAAAATGTTTATTAAGAGAGATGTCAGCAAAAATCAAGCATATACCATATACGGCTATTTCAAARAGGTTTGTGATGGTTTAGCTGTATATTGCATGTAGAATGCTAAACCCAAAATGCACTGTGGGCAGTGTGAATGCAATCAGCGAAAGTTCACAACGATATAAAATTTTACCAAACTGTGTGCATGTTATTTCAGCATATTGTCCTCTGTGCTGACATTACAAGCATGGCATGCAGCTTGCAACATGCCATATGTAACTTAACATTCAACACAACCTTCATCAACCGTTTTTGAAATAGCTGCAAACTACAAGTCAAAAAGGAAAACTAGAACTGCCTTCCTGTATTTCGACTTTTCGAATTCTAAATATTACTCTTTTTATTTTATATGGCATATGGTGACAAGTTTTTCTAAAAATTCCTTGTTTTTGATAAGGCATCAAAAAACCCTGATAAATATTTTCTTCGACATGAATTTATTTGAAGACAGTGGAATTCCAGCTTCATAATGTCAAAACACAATTGAAAATAATTTTTGGATCCTAAGAGCAGTGCAAATTTTGCAAAGGCATGTGAGGCCTCTGAATTTGGTGTATATATCTTTTGGCCCTCTCCGAGGGTAGATTATTAAGAAATATTTTTAATTTTATTAGAAAATAAGTGATATTTCAGAAAACCAATCGATTAAAGCATGTATGCCATTGTTTATCATGCTTCAAGGTCTACATGAATAATACTAGAATAATAGTGAATCAAATTTTAAACTGTTGCTGACATCTGCTCTTGGTTAATATATCTATTTCAAAAGGCACTCAGATCCAAASAAGATAGTAGGTCATTCCAAGATGGGAAGGAATTATGGGCATACACCTAAATGCAAATGTGTTTTAAATGGTTTTGTTGACTACAAACACTCAATATCCCAACAATAACCTCTGTCTTCCTGATGAGAATAATAACAAGAAACACCAGTCATTACAGCTATTGTTGGCTCTTGGAATACCTATCACCTTTTGCTTTTACAACCTTTTATGAAATAGGTACATATTAAAAAATATAATTTGCAATGAATGCGTCTTTGTATTCTATAACATATAAATCAACCTACCTGTCTGTGTTATATCTGCTGGCCAGACATCATCATCACTATGACAACCAAATGCTTGGCTAGAGAGGTTGACAAGCTGTTGAAAAATGTCAGACATCTGTTTAGGAACCCAAATCTTTCAGATGACTTCAAACATTAGATATAGGTAGTATCTGATATAATTTGCACTCATGTCATCATCATCACTAATTGTCAGTTTCCTTAGCAAAAGTATACTGTGATCATGGATCTTTTAAGATCCACACTGTGGTAGGATTGCTGGCCCCACACACCAATAAGCATACTCAAATAAATAAAATCCAGGTGACTCATAAATTAGGTCCCATGAGATATTCCATGCATGTGTTAGGCTGCATTCACATATGGCAGAGGGATTGGGTGGGGGACAGGTGAAAATTTGAAATGTCCAGAATAATTCTCAACACCCCCCCTTAAAATCATGCAAAAATATATGATCCCTCCTAAGCAAAGCTTGTAGCTTCTTCCAAAAATTGTGCATCCCCCCATTTTTCTGATAAAAATTAGCCCATCCCCCCTTTTTCCTACCAAAATTTTCCTGACCCCCCCTCAATTTCACCTGCTCCCCCCTCTGCCATACATTATGAACACAGCCTTATGCCCTTCAAAACCATTTTATAACTGGTATATATTTATCTTTGAAAATGTCTTAGAGAGTAAACTACATACCTGATGATCAGGAATAAGCTGCTCCTTGGAACATGTAAAGGAAACATGTTGGATTATCTTCCTCTACCACAGGGTAACCATAATGGATTAACCATGAGTATATATTGCTTTGAAGGTCACAGGGTCATCACCAGGTTACCACATCAATTATCATCTTGACAGTGAGGTCAATACTCATACATTAAGGTGAGTCCATATTGTTATGAAGGTCACAGGGTCATCACCAGGGCTACCACATCAATTATCATCTTAATAATGAGGTCAATACTCATACAGTAAGGTGAGTTCATATTGTTATGAAGGTCACAGGGTCATCACCAGGTTACCACATTAATTATCATCTTGATAATGAGGTCAATACTCATACATTAAGGTGAGTCCATATTGTTATGAAGGTCACAGGGTCATCACCAGGTTACTGCATTGATTATCTTGATAATCAGGTCAATACTCATACAGCCAAGGGTGAATCCATAATTTGTAATGAAGGTCACAGAACCATCAACAGGTTATCACATTGTTTAACATCTTGATAATCAGTTCAATACTATACAGCAACAAGGTGAATCCATATTGTTATGAAGGTCACAGGATCAATTATTATCTCAATAATCAGGTCAATGTGAGTCCATATTGATATCAAAGKTTTTTTTTGTTTTAGTGTAGTAAATTCATCATTTCATACTAACGTTTCCATTTTTAGCTTGCTGGTTGGCGTGTATATATTGGTTAGAGTCAAGGTGCAGTGTGGCTATCAGGCTCAGATGTCAAGAAACGACGGCCATCTTGTTACAGGCTCAATCGACGGTTTTACGAAGAAATGTACATGATTTTTTTTTTTCGACTGCAATGCAAAAAGAATAGAGATTAAGACATTAATATTTAGGATTTAGGGAGAAAATGGTTTAAAACTTTTACAAAAAAACAAGTTTCGTACAACGTTAGAAACCGAATTTTCAAAATATATAAAAAAATGAAAATATTCTTAAGCTAAGTTGCAGACTTACTTAAATTGTTTATTTACGACAAATTTAATTGTTTCTTGCAGAAAAAGTTGGATTTTCAGGGTYTAAAGTTARCACGTGTTATGGCGGACGAAGCCGGTGAGTCGAACATTTGAAATCTACAAACTCGTCAAAAATACAGYWAAATGCAAGAAAGACGCAGAAAAAACGATCTAATTCTTACCTTTCATAGTTCTCGTGTACTTGYTTCTCTGTTAGRTCCAGCACGAGCTAACAACCATCTTTGTTCTTGTACAATTTCAGCCAAAAAGTCCATCATGTATTTGCACCCGTTGAAACACATCCACAACGAACAGCAGCGTGCAACAAATGAAGAGGTGACATGCTCAGGGACTGGATACTAGCATTTTACACAGGGATCCCGCAAAAACCGGACTTCTTGGCGAAAAAATATTAAAAATTTGGCAGCTTTCGGGCAATATTTTTTGCCCAAAACGTATAAAATGGGTAGAAAAGATCATTTTAGGACTTTACGGAGGGTAAAAYCCGAGGAAAACCCCTTTTTTAAACGAAAAAGTACAATATGTTAATTAGTCACGTGACAAGTCACGTGACCTYMAATTTTGTGATTTTGGGGTTGGTTTTTCACTTTTTTTTAGACAAAAAAACATTTTACGGAGGTTTAGTTAATTTCATTGTGTTTGATAATTTATTACATATCGCAGTTTACAATAAAAGAACATTGAATTCTTATTGTCTGGTGTATTCCCTTTCTTTGTCCGATTATCGTTGGACACCCATCAAAACAAAAAACGAGAAAAATAAAACAYKCTGAAAAATGCCTTTATTATTGAGACACTWGACCAGAAGAATAAAGTACACCCGGAGACAATRATGAACAAAGATTTCAAGACGCATGCAGCATCAACATTYTTTATTACACTTTGAACTATGAAGTTTATTAACTCTTGACAATCGTGTCAATTCATATGTACTTGAGAAATATCATGATTAACCCTATTAACTTTTGAGACAGTACGACTGCAGTTTTGAAAGTAATTTATTGATAGCGTGACTTCAGTGATCAAGACTCTAGTCGAGTCAAAAGCTCAACAAATTGCTTTCCAAACCAAGTTGTATGTGTCCCAAAAGTTTGACAATCAAGAAAATTCATCTGTACTAGTTGAGAAATATCATGATTAACCGTATAAACTTTTGAGACAGTACAGACTGCAGTTTTTGACAGTAATTTATCGATAGCGTGACTGCAGTGATCAAGACTCTAGTTTAGTCAAAAGCTCAACAAATTTCTTTCAAAACCAGTTGTACTGTGTCCCAAAAGTTTACCGTTCAATCCTCATTAATTAAATCTTGTTTCTTCGCCACTTTGCGCGTCTATTTTGAGTTTACTTCTTGGAGCAAAACRGTACGCCGCACCAACCGTTTGATACAAGTAAATTATGCGCATAACAATATTTTCTTTACTTCAGTTTGAATAAGTGTTTTCAAGCGTAGAATAAAAGAATTACCCGAGGGAATAACACGTGACTAAACTAGACAGCGCCCAAAGAAGTCAAATACATGACGTCATATTTGGGTGAATATGGGAGTAGAGACCCGTGCAATTTTTATTTCTGTCATGGAGAGAAAAGGAATCAAATGAAGGGCCGCGAGCCCCAAAGAATCTTGCACTTTGAAAATGCATTGTTCCAGTATTTGATTATRATCTTTTCAAAGTGTTCCGTGTTTTAGTAACGTCGTTCCCTCGAGCATCCATTTCTTTCTTTCGTAGAATTAGCGATCTTTCTCCGCGAGGAACGAAAAAAAGCAAGCCTCAAAGGAATCAGCACTTTATTAATCAATGCCTTTATTACTGATGCATTGTACTCCTTTTTTTCTTTGTCAAGTCAATCCCTTGAGTATTACTCCATCGTTTCTTGGTGAC